TTACGGTGTTCAGGACGACGAAGTGGTCTAACATGGATATTATAAAACTGGAGGAACAGGTATCAAATAGCTTTTCAATACCTTCTGTCTAAACGTTTCTCAACACCTCACGATCCACAAAAGCTATTATTCATTCTCATTGGTGTATTCTCATACAGAAATCAAGTTTGTCTGAACTAAATGATTAGTGTTGTGGAGGTTTACATCGGCGTTTGACAGTAAACCTTCTAACATTTGTGAGAGGCTACTATCTCATTAAACAAATAAGAAGTGATCATTGACTCTGAACTATTCGTACTGGTTGGTGGTTCATTACTTCTGGTCATTCAGTCAGTGTTCTACTAATCAGATCACTAACAGACTATATTTTCAGTTCGATACACATCATTTATTCGGTAGTCTAGTTACACAAATACACATGTACACTAATGAAAAAAAAGAATTCTTTGGAAAACTGTGGAATTAGTTCTTAAAATTTCATCAACGTGTAGAATTATTCAAAACCTGTCGAATTTGTCTTTGAAATGTCATCAATGTGTAGAGATGAGAATCGATGATAGACAAGTGTTAGTAACCAATTTCTACTGATAATGGAACAACTCAATGAATGGATTATTTAGAAGGACAGATCATTTTTTGAAGTTTACAGTACAAGCGAGAATCAACTATGATTTGCAAGCAAACTTCATATTTCATATTCTAAAATCATATGATCTATGTCTAATGAGTTTTCTTACTGTGGTATTTGTGTTGTATGTATTATCTTTCTGTATTGATAATTTGTTAAGACCTGAACTGATAGACATATGTGCCAGATTCTACGTTGGCTTTTCAAATTCGCTCAAAAATTACTAATGCATTATTTAGGTAAAGTAAATTTGACACTTTCCGATTATCAGAATAGGGTGTTTATGGAGATTGTGGAAATTTTCATACTTGAAATCATGAGTCAACTGAAGCTAGACCACCATGGAAAACCTGGAAGTACATGGAAGTACCTGGACGGCCGTTTCGTCATATTATGGGACTCCTCAGCTGTGCGCATCCACGATCTCGCACTGAAATTTCCATATGACCCCATCAGATTGTGGTAAATTTAATAGTTGAATTTACCGAACGGCTTCCATGTTTTCAATGATGCTCTATTTTGGATCAACTCATGAATTCAACTTCCCTATTAATTGTACCCTATTTATATTCACACAACTTATGTTGAAAACATTGAAAAATTAGTTTGTCTGAAACATGCTGCTGAAAACAATGTAAAGTGTATGGTACTCAATTTCACATTTTAGTATTTCAACATAAGATTGCAGAACGTGATAGTAAAATCATACAGTAAATACTTCATTTACAAAATATCAATCGTTAATCTCAGACTTCATTGTTCTTTCTTTTGATTCCGGTTCTCTACTCCTCAATCTTCTCCATCTTCTACTAATAGACATTCTATCCTTGATCAGTGTTGTATATTACTTATGTCGACATAAGTAGTACACCCAACAACAATGAATATTAAAATCATCATTCAAATCATAGTTTTCTTCAATTAAGAATATACATACAATTACGATTTAGTCCAGTCTATAAACTTCCTTACGGAATACCAGTTCTGTGACGAGGATAGTCGGATATACTCGTGTTTGAGAAGGTTGTATGTCAGTGTCCACTAATGAACACGGAACATCACGAGTTATTTACTTCGTAAGCTAAACGTTGATATAAAAAGAATAAATACGACATATAAACCATCGTATTGTAGAATGTACATCATGACTTTGCAATCAGAATTAGTTGAGAAATACTTTTAAAGTTGCGAGAGGTGACAAATACAATTCCAGATACCATAACGAGCAACGTTTAAGGTAGAACACTGGTGTACTAATGTGCAAACTACCCGGTTTATTTTTATCTGAATCGTGTATTTTTCGTTCAAAGTGAATGGTACTGGATTCAAGTCCCATAATGAATATTTACTCTGTTATATAGGAATATTCAGCTGACAAATACCAAATAGAAAGTAACAAGCACATTCAATTATTGTATTGTATGTGTGTACCCAGCAATTCCGACATTTTAATCCACTATGTAAATTGATGTGTGAGTCTGATTGATCGCAGTGTGTCTGAACATCCATCTTCATCCTGTTCTCTCATTAGTTGTAAACAAAATCAATCAATAATTTATCCATAATCTATTAACACTCATCAATATATATGGAGATTCTTGATCATTCATCGACATTCACACATAGTCACTCGCTTTTTTTTCCTGTGTGATTGTTATCAGTAAACTTGCAGGTTATTACCAAACTTCAACAATAAACCGTCTCTATAACTGATGTTCAGGCGTTTGAAATAATCTTGAGTAAACCCATCATTCTATTAAGAGATTTAGCCTGCATTGAATATTCACTTAACGGAAATCAGATATAGAGGAATTCATTGTTTACGATGTTGGCGAACCGCCGTTGGAACGTGCACCATCACTCCACATGTCTGTTGCATAATCTCCAATCATATAGCATGAAAAATTTCACATTCGGATTACGGTTACAATGATTGACAATTCATTGACAGTCATAATATTTATTCATTCATAACATTGTTTCGTTGGAATTCTATCAGTCTATTCGCATATTTGTACATCAAAGTGGCAGTTGTTTTTTATTATTCGGTGACTCTCATATATAGTTCTTGTTGTTTTTATTGCTTATTTCTTCATATTTAATATGTCAATGTACAGCTTATTATTATTGATACTGATATTATTTATTTGTATGATGTTAGTTGATAACTCACTAAGCCTTCCATGTAAGTCTATTTGTAAGGGTGCCATCTCTGTACCTTTACTTATTATTAAACGTCGAAAGGTAGAACTTTAGTTTGCACTCTTAGAAAGCCTCATTGTTACAACCAGAATCACAGGAGTGAACACGAAATTTAGTTAGGCGAATTGGTTGGTGCCGTAAGACGTTATTGAGCAAGTGCTTGACGTCATTTTTAAACCGGATCGTGACTCGCCATACGATTGTCAAAAATGGGATGTCATACGTGTTAGACTTCTCTCACTCTGATTAGCAGTGTAACGATCAATTTTTATCCAATGTAGAGCTAGGTGACAACACACCTACCCAATTCAAACGCCATAAGAAAAATGTTTTGTGGAATCGTATAGTTGATAAATGTCTATCATATCAATTGTGGCTCAGGAGCTTTCCTCAAAAGACAACATTTACTGGTAACATAGAACGTTCGGTAGACAAGCTGAAAAGTGTATTCCTCCCTGTAACTTTGCAAGCAAACGGTAAAGGGAGCGCCAACGTCGACGATTACTGACGACTGTGATCACCGGCCACAACTCACAAGACAGTCGTCTTTTATATGCCACATACAGAAGAACTGGAACACAGATGTTAGTCGACACAGGGGCAGATATTAGTGTAGTGTTTCGTGACTCGAAAGTGAAACTGAGATTCGCGAATAGATCCAAAGTCAAACCATACAGTAAAAGACATTTACAATTGCATTTCGGTTTGAAATACAACTTCTCATGGAACTTCATCATAGTTGATGATTTGTCCCCATAATCCGTGTTCATTTGTTACATTCACGTAAAATACTCGTAGACGTCAGAAACCGGAAACTAGTAGTTGCCGATCACAGGAATGAAATCAAAGTAATTCTATCTAATGAGACGTCTATACATGTACTGGTTAAACCTCAATGCTAGAATGACAAACATCATATTTTTTACAGGAAATTTTCCGTCGCTAGCTCTACGTTCGACCACATCCATATCGACCTTGTTGGACTATTACCAATTTCCAATGGTTACACGCATATACTAACATGTATAGATAGATTCACGAGATGGTCCATAGCCATCCCATTAGAAGATACATCGGCATCAACAGTGATGAATAAATTAGTGAAACAGTGGATTACAAATTCCAGTGTCCCATCAACAATTACGACCGACCGCGGAACTCAGTTTGAAAGCACACTTTCTCAACAACTTACAAACACTTTCAGTATAATGTGAATCAGGACCACTGCTTATCATCTGAATGCTAACGGAATGATAAAAAGGTTCTACCGACAACTAAAAGCCTCTTTGACTATTGCAGGAGGAGATTACAATTGCTATATCAAGTCTCCTTTGATATTATTAGGCATTCGCTCAACTATCAAACAAGACATCTGTTATTGTGCTGCTGAGTTTGTTTAAGGGACGACGTTATGTTTGTCTGGTGAGTTTTTCGACCGCGCAACAAATATCCCAGCAGATATATTCAATTGGTGACACAACTGAAACGACAGATGGAATCCATTAGATCAGTCGAACCGCGAACGATTATCTACTAATTTATTTATTTAAACACACAAATATTTGTACAAGGAAGCACCAGATATATATGCGGAGCACAAATTTGATTTGATTTGTGTGAGGACTGTGATACTTCTCTGGTGCTGAAACTGTAGCACGCATTTTTCTTAGGAAGCCTTAGTCGAAGCTTTTGACCTAAATTTCTGATCCACAAGGCAGTGGAGCATCGTGAGGAGATTCAGTCTCATGGTAGCCGATGACCAACGATTGATTCATACGCCATTTGTTCCCTTAGGATACTGAAACCAGCCCATGTGCACCATTGGTCTGGAATCAGGGTTTTCCCAACTCCCCTAGGTAAACTTTCCATGTCCACCAACCTGGTTAAAGCTCAATCAACATAAGCACAATCAACAGACAAATCCCAAATAGGCTGAAGCGTGCATTCTGGTTTCCACTACTCACAACCATCCATCTCTGATTGTATTACTTGTGAATCAAGGCAATATCGATATAATTCGTACAGGTTGCATAGATACTGATCAAATATAGTCCGAAATATCAATGATAATATTTAAACAATTAATGTAACATATATTGTCTCACTTAACATAAGTTTGTGAGATGTTTTAAAGTTTGATCATAAAGAAACAAAAGAAGAGTCTTTACTTTTAAATCAAAACTATATATCCCGGTAAATTGTCGGATAGGGAAACAGATGCATTTGAAGCATTACAGGTCTGGCTTATATTACAAACCATACCAGTAGTGATTAAATAAGTAGTTGAAAACATATTATATAGTAGTAATGCAGCCGCAGTGTATTCTGTACAGAAGATACGTAATGCTGATTTGCCAACAGTTATTTGACTGACAAATATTGTTATCTATGAAAGTAAAATTAAACAAAACAATTAGACTAAATTTTATATCATGACAACATACTACATTTGAGTACGAGTACAACATCAATTGAAAATAAAGACTATTGTTCACGATCTCGCTCGTGGGATTCGAACTCAATGGAGTTCAACTGTGTTGGGTGTGAGACAGTTACCAACGGAATACAATGGAAGATGGTCCCTAAATTTCATGGATTGGTTGGAGTTAGACAATAACACCGTTGGATGCCAACTCAGTGATCTAGATGTTAAGCATTCATTGGTCGGAATCTCGTGAACGTAGACGTTGTTGAGCACTGAGGCGTCCCATACTGGGAGGAAACGGTCTTTCAATACTTTCAGGTATTCAATGGTGGTCTAACATATATCGGTTCATGATCTCAAACAGAAGTTGGACAACATCATATTGGAAAATTTTTCATGATTAAAGCAATATTTGAAACGAAATTTAGAAATCATAACCTTTGAAAATGTTGAAATAAACTGAGATAAAACAGAGTTCTTTCTATCCTTCGATTGACCTTATTTCCCCACAATATTTTTTGATGCTTGGAAACACAACAATTTTAAGTTACATTCACCAGCTGTAGTAATAAGGCAGTGGGCAATCCATGGAACAGATACTTGACGGAAGTAAATGATGAGATGACTTGTCATAATGACAAGAGAGTAAATTTTTAGTGGTTCATTGTATATCTGACTCCATTTGAATCGTATGAATGATTGTTATCGAATCATACATATCGGCAATCTTTGTATATAATTATTCACTTAGCTCGTGTTAGTCAATAATGGAATTCAAATAAATCAAATGGGAGAATGAAGCTTTGAATACGTATGTTATGTACAATAGTTAATTGGAAAGTGAAGCAAAACAAAATGACACACAATGGAGAAGATGAGTGAGCCAACTCACTTTAATGAAGTATTACTCAATATTTATGATCAAATCGAATTGAGGCGAAACGAGGCATGAGAAAGACGTGAGTTAGGCGAGGCAAAGTAAATAATTAACAAGGTTGAAATTTGAGTCAAGAAGAATGGATAAATTGACCTGTTCATAGGCTAGAATAAGTTATGTGGACTTGTTATATTGTTAGCCACTACAATTTTACTTCAAATAGATGAAATGTAGATAAATGTAACTCACAAAAAATAACGCCACATCTGTAAGGACGTAAAATGCGACCGATGTTGACTGAAAATAAAACAAAAATATAGATGATTTTGTATTTAACCAATTGATGTTGTATATAAATCGAATAATATCAATACATGACTAGACTATATGAGGTTTATAATGTTACTGAGATCACGTGCACTCAACCTCTAGAACACGGAAGTCAAGAAGTCTAGCATTCGGGCGTCATACCGAAGGTCCTTGATTCGAATCACTGTTGAACGGTCAGTTTATTTTATTTGTTTATTTAATCACCAACATATTGGTACAAAAGGGCACCAGATACATATGCGCCACACAAAACAATGAAAATAGGAAGAGAAAGGATGAAAAAAGGAGGGAACTGAAATGTACAACCAGGAGACTCTTTCAGTTAAGGAAGTTACAATCATTCTTCATGAAGAAAGTGAAAGAAGGTTACAGCAGGCTCGCCACTGGCTTCCAGTCTGTGCCACATCTGATAACGTCTCTAGCCACTATGTTGCACCATCTCTCGGACCCCAACCAGGGCGTCGTGAAGGACCAACAGAAGTTAGCCCTTTGCAGCTTTCTTTCATACCACGACACCATGTCATACACTGACCTCCTCTCCACTTTTTCCAACCAGTCCGAGCGTCGGCATATAATGCACGACGTGGAATTCTCCGAGACGACATTCGTAGAACATGTCCAAGCCACCGAATTCGGTGTTTCAAAATGTTGACAACAAATTGAATAATCGTCTCTGCGCCCGAACACTCGATACCGAACCTCTGCATTACTAACATTGTGTTGCCACTGGATGTCAGCAATCCTTCGGAGACAACGATGATCGAACACAGAGAGTCGTCTAACATCCTCAACTTGGAGAGGTCAGGTTTCACAAGCATAGAGCAAAATCGCTCTCACCGACGCGTGATCCGATAATATTCTTACCGCTCATAATGCATTCTGTATATTCTTTCAATATGATTGATATATTCTGCCTATCGCTCATTGACTAAATATCAAAGTTGATGGTAAATACAAGTTCATTTCATAAAATACTATAAAACTGTATGATATCATCTTATCCAGCGTAAAAAACTCCAAGTTGATATCATAACAATTGTAAGATTCATTGAATTAGTTAGGTATGTAGAGACTAACGAGTATGTTATTGGTAAATATTTAATGAATAAAACTTCATACTATAAAGTAATATTGAACTTTATAGTTGGAATCATCAGTCAATTGAAGTTAGACCACCATGGAAAACCTGAAGGCACTGGACGCTCGTTTCATCCTTTTGTGGGACTTTTCAGCACTGCGCATCTATGATCCCACCTCACGAGATTCGAACCCAGGATGTATCAGTCTTGCGCGCGAACGCCCAACCTCTGGAAACACTTAGCTGGCATCCAATGGTTTCTATGTCTAATTTCAACCAATATTAAAATACACCTAAGTATCTCACATAGAATACTGTAAAATCATGATGATTTAATATATAAATGAATTTATTGTGATTATTGACATACCCAATGTTTTATTCTTGTGATTAAAAAACTTGCTACACCGATTACAGTACCAGTGATTAGTAACAGTATTAAAATAACCGTTAAATAATCTGCCAATTTTATTTTGATAGCTGCACCAATAAGTAATGCAATTATAAACAACATTAGACTGATTCCATATGCACCAAGTTTAGCAGCAATACCCACTAGTATATCCAGAGTTTCAATAGTTGCAGCTAAGGTGATTGTCTGAAAATATGAAATGCATAATGTACAGTTTAAAAAGGTGTACTAGAAAAGTTGAATCAATTCATAATTTAGTTGATCTGGATTTTCCCAAAAACTCCTAACAAGATAAAAAAATATTATTCTAACGATTACTTTGAATCTCACAATTGTTGTTGCCTAGTGTCCGTTGTCCGGTTTCCATCAGTAACATCATACTATGGGAGAAAGTAAACCAGCTTCCATATCAAGTGTGAATTGGGGAAAGAAAACGGAAACGTATAGAACATACATTGTGAAAGTCATCAAACTGCATCACGTGGCAAGAGCCAATTTGAAATCGTGGAGGGTCGCCGAAACGTTTAAGATCAAAGAACACACTGCGTCGATAATTGGAAGCAGACGTCAAGAGAATGAGCAGTAACTGGAAACAACCGGGAAGGATTATCGAGGACAGAATCGGATAGAGATTGCGTGTGGTCAACCTATGCTCCTCCATGAGGTGTGATATTCGTAATTAAGTAAGTAAGTAAGTCTATTGACTTTTCTGGAAGACTTCTTCAAAACTATCAACTGAAGAGTAGTCAATGAAATAATGCAGTAATTTACGTAGACAAATTGTAATATAAATACTTTTACATTAGAAAAAAAGAAAACTCATCAATTAAATCCAATGTTCTTACATAAGTAAATAATATAATAACATTCAATGGGAATGTATCACTTATTTTCTTCACATAAGCGATCAATAATCCTAACACAGATGTAATCAAGCTATAAATGAGAAGAAAAGAATAAAGACATCAGATAATTCACACATTAATATACAAATACATCGAATGAGATTTGAATATCCTAATACGAAACAAAACTCGCGCGTGAGACCGATAGATCCCAAGTTCGAATCTGTTATATCTAGAGCTTTGATTCTTACGATGCCGCTTTTTTACTTGATTCCTTGAACGATCGAACCCGCAACGTCGCAAGAGAGAAGACAGAAGACTAGTAATGTAATCAAATAAATCATCATTTCAGTCAACCAACCGGCACATAGGGGTCATTATTATTCATCCAATCGGGAAGCTAGATGTCGACATCACAGAATTTTCTTCTTGCAGTGGTTGGAAGAATGTCTTCGGCTCACTCTGGGCTTCCTAAAGCTTTCTAGAGTTTACCAACGGGCTATCCTTACAGAATCCAGAGATCAAAGTCGTGGATGTGCATTACTGAGCGCGTCTCATAATGGTACGAAACGGCCATCTAATGTTTCCAGTCCATCATATTCAATCATGACTCGATGCCAAGTTCAATTTTAATGATTTAATAGATTTATTTTATTGATTAAAAATTGATTATTAAAATTAATCTATAGAAATAATAAACTGGGTTAACTTACAGTAATACAACACACATAATTGATTGTGTTAATGGATTATTAGAAAATGTGGTTTGATTTCTAATAAAAAAATTGATGATGATTATTATTGATTTATTGATTTATTATTAGTAATAACTTACAATCCATAAAAAATGATCAAAATAAAAAATGTGATAATTAATTGAATTATAAGAATAATAAAAATCTATAAAAAAATTTTTTATATAAAATTAAGAATTTACTTACTTTTCTATTATATAATGATATATCTAATCGATAATTCAATATTGATTTATTGGAAAGTTTATTGATTAAATTATTAATTGATTGATTAATTTGATTGATCATAAACATGTTTATAGAAAGATTATCTAGAATAAGATTAAGAATAAGAATATAAATGTAAATGATGAATTTGATATAATTGAAAGTGTGAGTTAATTGAAATTAGACTAACACCAAAGAAAACCTGAAAACACTAGATAGTCGTTCCAAACTATTGTTAGTGTTTATGTCTAACTTCAATCTATCCACGAAGTTGAGCAATCGTTCACCCATTGTTTTCAATGACTTCCTATCTGACAACAGATGTGGTTTGAACTCCACTGGTCACTGCTTCTCACTAGAACTCCAGGATTTACCTCTCGAATTTACTCACTAGTGAGCATATGATTATAATCAGAAGGGGTTTTTGTGAAGATTTATTACCTTTTTGATAAATATTACACTTGGAAATGCCATCAGACTGACTCTTCATCTGTACTGACTAGCATAGCAATATATAATTAGTTTAATCAAATCGGCAAAATGTAAAGGACATAAGTAATATACAGCACTGGTCAGAAATAGAATGTCTAGTAGTAGAAGATCGAGACGATTGAGGAGTGAAGAAACAGAACCGAAAGCAACAACAGTGAAGTCTGAGACTATTGATTGACATTTTGTAAATGAAGTATTTACTATATGGTCCTCAGATTTTACTGAGACGTTCTGTAATTCTATGTTCATATACAGTCGATTGTCCTCACTTGTGTTCTCGTACACTAAAATCTTTCTTGTGTGGTCTAGTTATTAAACAGATGAATGGAGTAATAGACATCTGTGTCTTATGAAATGGAATCAACAATCTTCGTATCCAATCACAAAAGTGTTCAAATGAAATACAACACACACTGATGTTGATGAAAGGGGACAAGTAAGAGAGTGATTGAGAAGGGGAATCCATAATGGTTATGATCTTATACATAGTAGACCAATAGCTTATGTTTGTATCACATTTCGATCGTGATTGTTATCATGAGTTTGTTATCATTTATTGTTACTTTTAAATGAACCTTGATCTGATATGCGAATATGGACTATTTTGAAAAGTACAAACCTGAATCTTCTTATTTGTAACAATGTGATCAAACTTCAATACATACTAGACGTAAACAAATTAGTCATTACAACTCCATATAATGAATGAGACTATATTGGATCTGACTAGGAAGTGAGATCAGTTCATTCAACACTACAGGTAAGCCTCAGTCAACCGTGTCATTAATGTATGAATTAGTTGTCGTTGATTTTTTTACCATCGCATTATCGACTTAGCAACTGAGTTCTCATATCCAACTGCTTGTGCAATGGTATGACGTCTAAATTCACTTGGTGTTGTTTACTTGTATTTTTCCATTAATATTTAGGACTGCGATTGATCAGTGCCTTGTTGGCATATCTGCATACTGTGCGGACTGAATCGATATTGCCTGAAGTTACAAGAGACTGTTCAATTAAAATCCCAAATTACAATAGGAAGATACAAGTGAACAACATCAAGTGAATTTAGTTTTCAATAGTTTATTGAAATAATTGATAATCGTTAATACGTGAGTAATGTGCTACAGTTGTCGACAGATGTAAGTAGTATGTAGCGTCGATCGACAGTGAAATGCCTGATAGCAGACGCTTGAAAACACGAGAGCGGAGAGAACGAGAACAAAGAATGATTGGCGTATAACTGTCTACTCAATGCTCAATTTATTTGAAACTATCAAGTCAAAACTAAGCGTTAGACATCTGTAATTGGATGTAAATCAAATATTAATATGACTGAAATTAGTATTTTAGTGAAGGAGCATACCAGCGAGGATAACGTAATCTGAGAACAATACACTGAGTACTTCATTTGCAAAACGTCAATCACTCATGCGTCACACAAATTGAATGAGATTTGTGTGAGGAGTGTGATACTGTTCAGGTGCCCAAACTGAAGCAGATGGTTTTATTAGAGGGCCACACCCCGAGCCTTTGACTGAAGGCTCTGGAACATTGTAATGTAACATTGTAAGGAGATGCAGTCCCATGGTAGCCGGTGACTAAATAATTGGTTCACACGCTATTTGTTCTCTCAGGATACTGGAGCCAGCCCATATGCACAATTGGTTGAGAATCATGATTTTCCAACTCCCATAGTTGAATTTTCCATGTACAGTAACCCGGCGACGGACATTCGCTTTTCGTCCTCTCAATTTCGTAAACAACACCCAACCCTGCCACGAGAAGGCAGTGAGTGATTCATACTACTGATATCAAAAGACATCAGTAGCACACACCCTACTCAAATTAAGACAATCAAATGCAGTCACTGAGTTTACATGATTCAATATTTGAAATGGAATTTTCCATTTATATTTATCAATGAATAGTTGAACAAATGAATTATACTTTATTGTTTATTGTAGACAAACCTAAAAAGTAATGGTTGCTATTGTTGAAAATGCAGAATGAGAAGGAGTCAATGTCATGAAACCTGTTGATGGTTTACGTGTTGTATCCACATACACCAAAACAATACATTGTACTTTATCATTGAAAGTCGTTCACAATTATAGGTGCTTATACTTGTTGCAATATCAATATCAATTACATTTGTCATCATAATGCTCTCGTCAATACCGTAAATTATTGAATCAATATTGATATTTGTCTTTATTTAGTAGGATAAATTTTCTAGAAAAACCGAAGCTGGTACAATACATTATAGCTGGCTTATTCCTGTACGTTTTGTCATTTATTAACAAATTATTCTCCGTGTTGTATTTGAGAATCTTCCTTTTTGCTTTGTTTATGTTGAGGCTTATTGATGCACAGACTACTGCTACATTTGCTGTCTTCATCTGCAATTGTTCGTGTGTTTGAGATAGGAGGGCTAAGTCTTCTGCAAAGTTCAAATCATCCAAGTGATTCTGAGATTTCCAATGTATTACGTGCTACCCCTCAGATGTCGAAGTCTTCATAATCCACTCAATCATTAGTAAAAAGGAGGAAGCTTTGTCTGACTCCGGTCGTCATAATTTACTGAAAATTTATGTTTGTCAAACAATTATTCAGCTGGATAACAGAAACATAAAATTGATTGGATTCATTCGGTATTGTTTACTTGAATCTTTCCATTGAATGAATACATAGTTTGTAATATCGAAAGAATTTGCATATTTCCTTTGTGCAAAGCAATGCAATTACTCAGTAATTATCAGCAATGCACAGTATGCGCATAAGCCAACAAGAGACTGATGAATTGCAATGGTAAGCAACAAAGGGAATATTCGAGTAAACTGTATCAAGTGAATTTAAACTTTAGGAAACAACAAGAAATAATGCT